AAATTTTTTTTTTTTTTTTTATAATCGCGGTTTCTCATATTTAATTTTTTTTTATATTTTTAAATTGGCATATATAAAGTATATCCCCTATTTTTTTAATTTATTTAGGGTGTTCTCAAGATTAATCGAAAATCGTCGAATCTTGAGAAACGATAATCGCGATTAAATCGTTTTTAAATATCGAAATCGATTCCAATCCTTAATAGTAATATCTCAATTAATCTTTTTGGTATTTTAAGTTAATTTGTTATTTGCTTTTAGAAATATCATGTTTAATTAAACCCGCACCCGGCCGTTGCTTGTCTTTATTCTACATAACCAAAATGGGAATGAATTTGTGGCTTTGCCAGGTCTTTGAATTAATTTATTTAATTATTTATTTCAGTCTAGGCTAACTTATGTATCATGCCAATCTTTGATTTACTGTTTTAGAATAATCTAGATATTTGATTTTTATTTATATGTGATCGGCATTTTTATATAAGAATGTTCAAATTTTCTGTCGCTTCTTTTTCAAAAATGTTTAACTTAATCATTATATTACTTTGTTTTTTTTTTGGTGATATTCATCCTATAAACTGTCAAGCAATTCAAGAAAGGAATGATGCAACAAGTGTAATCAAAAATAATATATTATATGTTCTTGGAGGATTTAGTAATGGCAAGGCCATACCAGAAATATTATCCCTCGATCTTACCAATTCAATAAACATAAATTCACCGCCATGGTCGCAGCTGAAAGTCCCACCTTTGGCATTTTCATCAAGCGGAGTAGTTCTTGGCGGTCTTAATAATAGTTTTATTTTAGTTATTGGAGGTGTGATGCGAGACCCGTTTAGTCAAGATGGTATATTTGGTGAACAAACTCTATTAGAATATGATATTAAAAATAATGAATGGAAAAGAACAGCAATGAAAAACGCGCCCGATGTGAATGATCGAGTTCAATTTAAAATGTTAAGCAATAATGATGGAATTGCTTATCTTCATGGTGGTTTTTTTTATAATGGCACGTTTTTAGGTGATACATATTTATTCGACACCTTTTTACACACCTGGGAACAGTTACCGACACCGAAAGTACCAGTAACTGCGTATGACTTTGCGCCCGTACTCTTAAATGATGGACGATTGATCATTATTGGAGGATTTGGACCGCCGGTGGGAAATGTTCAAACACCCAGACTTATTAGCAAGGTAAAGTACAAGAAATATTCATATAATAATGAAAAATTAATAACTTTTAGAATATATAGATCGAAATATTTAATACGGTAAATTCTACTTGGAGTAGTCAAACTGTACCGCAACCAAACGAAATGTCCGATATCCGTAGATCTCATACATCAACACTTCGTAAGTAATTTATTATCTTTTTCATTCTTGATATCTTCACTAACTTTCTTACTATCTAGTTCCAAATGGGGATATTGTAATAATCGGAGGTGTTAATGGAATACCCAACGTTGTAATATTAAAAACAGCCTCCATACAATTCCAATGGAAATTCCAGCCATTTCTGGTTCAGAACCTCCACTGATTAATGAACACTGTGCAGAACTGGTTGAAAATAGATATATTTTCACCATGTTTGGTATGTCTGGTAATTTACTCTTTTTGTTTTATAAAAAACAATAATATGTTATACGATTAACTTTTAACTTTTTCAGGATTAAGCATCGATAACAAAGTTACCAACAAACTCTACATACTCGATACAGAAAATTATTCATGGATTACAAATTTCACACCAAAATTTCCCGCATCACCATCACCATCACCATCACCATCATCACCATCATCATCGAACATATCATCATCATCATCATCGACCACAATAATAATCGTATTATCTGTAATTATCCCAGTTTTATTTATAACTTTACTAGGTGTATTAATATTTTTTCTTAAAAAGTTTAAAAACCGATATGGTACTATTTCTACACGAGCCGAGAAAAACTAAAAGATTCGCATGGAGAAAATACAAATATAATGATATACCCAAATTAAAGAAAATGTATTTATAGAATTTTTTTAATTATAAAACTTTCTTTTGTGATTTTTTTTTAAATCTACATTATTATTTATTTTTTTATTCAAAAAATTTGAATCATCATAATCTAATATTATTTTTAGTAGTTTATTACCCATAATTTTTAATATATGTTCGTAGTGATAGTATCACAAGATTATAAATTATATCAATTTTTCTTTAGAGCAGAGATTTGTGCTTTTTAAATTGTTTAATCCACAAAATTCAAATTGCTAAGTCAAAGTGTCGTTCGATTTGTTTTCTTGTATGTAATTGGTAAAGCCTTGAAGGAATAGTTCAATAGCAGTAGTCAATGCTTCAAGGGTATCTGATTTCTGTATTAAACGAAAGCAATTCACTTTATAAATATTTAAAGGTATTTTAATTTTATGAGATTTTAATTAAACAAGCAAATAAATCATGAAACAGAAAGGTATTTTTTTTTTTTTTTTTTTTTTTTTTTTGGTAAGTAATTATATATATATTTATATATTTTTAGAATAAAACCAAGATAAAATTTTCGAAAAAATTAACAAAAATTAAATTAGGTCACGAAATCACGAAATCAACAAGCGTATTTTTTTTTAGCAAGAAAAAATATTTCATAAAAAAAAAAAAAAAAAAAAAATGATTTTTTTTTTCCTATTTTATTACAGAAATTAATTCCATTATTTAAGGTTACAGTTACAAAGCCAAATATGTAAATAAATCGATTGTGTAACCTTATCGGTGGATCGCTTTTAATATAAAATAATTTTTTAAAATAAAATTTTTTAAGTCAAATCGTAGTGCTTGGACTGAGTCAAGAATTAGTAGAGGCTGGATTTTCTATAACCGGAGTTAACTTGGAGTTATACCAAAAACCAAATCAAAACTCAATAAAAGGCATCCAAAGAAATACTATTTGATTCACTTGTGTAGTTATTATCACAATCCAAACCTTATGGAAACACGATAAATTTTAAAAGTTCTGTCGACAACCAGAACTACAGGACTATTAATATAAAGTTTGTACTACGCTTTTTTATAGAGAAAATTGAAATAATGAATAAAATAAAATATTGAAAATGATTGCGGTGCAATCAAATCTTCGGTTAAAATAATTTGAAATTCAATGTTTCGTTGTTTTGTCTAAATTCATAGTGCCGGCCTGAGTTAGATTTAAATCGTTGTTTGGTTAATCTGGTTTCAGATATCGGGTTAATACCGGTCGGTTAATTAAGATTGTTAGCAATGATCGACATCATTTGATGTCAATTAAAATAAACTGTGGGAGAAAAATAATACTTTCACGCGCGGGTATATAGCAAACCTGTATAATTTGTTTCGAGTATGAAACCATACATGTATGGACTTTTATTATGAAAATACAGGTTTGTTTAATACCCCTTTCATGCGATCGCACTCCCAAACAAATCAATGACTAATTGTTTCTACTTTTACCATTCCTAATATTACTCTGATGACTAAAAATTTGTTTCTTTCGTAATAAAATTGATCAGAATTTACGTCATGTAAGGTCATTATTGACATTTGCAAAGTTTTTTTCGGAAGTCAAATAAGAATATGACGACGATATGAAATGTATAAAAATGAATCCATCAAAGAAACTCTCTTGACTTTTTCTCGAGTTTATCATTTATCCTTTGATTAACTTTGAACAATGGGTAAACAAAAAGGAAAAAATAAAATTGACAAAAACTCTGATACTACCGATGATGAAAGCGAAGAATACGTCGACGCTAACTCTGAAATGGAAAATTCAGATGCTGCTACGCCACCACAAAATAATGAAAATCATTCATCTTCCTTTATTTCTGGGGTTAAGAAGATTTTCAACGAGGGTTGGAATTATATTGTATCTAAATCTAAAACTTCAGAAGATGATAGCTACACAAAAATCATATTTCATGTGCATTTTCCTAAGGTTCATGTCGGAATTCCTGTTATAGTTGGTAATATAGAGGAACTTGGTAAATGGATAGAACCTAAAATTTTTCTTAAGCAATATAATAAGAAAAATACATCTTATTGGTATTCAGATCCTATTCAAATCCCGAACGTAAGATTTCAAGATTCTGTTAGATATAAATATGCTGTGTGTTCATCCAACAACCAAAACTACCTAAACTTAGAATACGAAGGATCTGGTCCAGATGACGATCGTGAGCTAGAAATTCAACGTCAACAATTCGATATTTGGAAAAATAATTCGGCTTATCGCATAAATCAAATCACTGATTATATGTTTTTAAATATCATTTATGAATCCGAAAACATTGAGGAGATGATTCTAGATTATGATAGTATCCTTAAACAGCATCACGACTTAACTTTATCCGTAACGAATCTTCAATTTATTAACAAACATGTATCGGATAAATCTATTAGTAGACGTCTTTTTTTATGCTTTCTTTTAGAACATACCAAAATATTTGAATTACCAAGAGAATTTAAAACTGCTCACTTGCTACAAGCTTTCTTCACGGTTAATCAAAACACATTTCCAAGCAATAGTTTGCATGTTGTATTAAAAGGGATTGACCTGTGTATTCGTCACAATATTCATTATGGATTATTCGAGTGGCTCAAAATCTTTAGCATTGCAAAAAATTTCGATCCTCAATATAAATTCATCAACACAATATCTTTTTTTAATTGCAATAATGAAAAATATATCGAAGATTGTTTTGAAAAGATTCTGAAAGGTAAATTTGACGAAAATCACCGTGTGAAAATTATCAAGGTATATTTTAATAATCACAACTTTGCTGATTTATTTATTATTAGCGTTAGTCAATCATATCAATTAATTCCTCTTTTCTCAATATTAACTGTGTAGTGTTTGATGAGCCAATGTAACAACGCGAAATACTTTTCAATCGTCTGGCGATCCTCAAAGCAAAGTGACAAGAAACTACGACAAGTTTTGGAAGATCATATTAAAAAAATGATATCTGAAGATGAACCGGCAAATTTACATAAGAATTTTACCCAGCTTCCTGATGACATTAGAGATAAAGTTTCCGACCTCTTTAAGAAAAGAGTACTTGACTTATTAACCAAGGATCGTCTTGCCATTTGGGATGACCCTAAATCAAAATCGATTTATAACCTTTTAAATTCTGAACGTCTAAATTGGACAAAAAATGAATACAAAGTTGTTTTGAAGACGGTATCAACCTTTAATGATGATCAAATATTGAGCGTATTTCCATCATTGCTTAAAAATTGGAAAGAAATGTCTAATGTTATTGATTATCAAATAACACAATTGTGTATTATCTGGTATAAAAAGCTCATGGGTAAAATAGATCGAACAACATCCAATTCAACGGTCCATAGGGGAGAATCCATAATCGCAGTTTTGGAGAAATTGTCAAGCATCTGTTCATTAATAAATGAACAATCAATATTAGATGAATTAATAGAGTTAACGTTCGGTCATATTAGACGTTTTCCAGAAGAATCAATTCTTAATACTGCACCTAATGTTGAAAAGTTTAGTTCAGAAGCGGTACATGTATTCACAAAAGTCATTGAAGAAAAAATTGATTCAATGGAATTAGATCGCTTTATACCTTTATTAAATAAAATGCAAGTTATTTGTGGTTCTACTGGTAAAAGTTTAAAGATTCCAAATGAGTAAGTGATTAATTTAATATCGTGTCGTGTTCTCTTATTATTATATTAATTGATTAGATTTGATTCAATTTATATAGATATTGTGAAAAAACTCTATTATACATCATGTCAAGTTTGCAAAAGAATTCTTCAAAAACCTTTTCAGAAACATCTTTGCGTGAATATGCTGAATTCTGGATTGTAATTTTACGAGCAACTGGCAGTACCAAAAAGTTTCATACTCATCAACTTGTGCAAGAAACTCGAACGACCATACTCGGGTTAGCTGATATGATTAAAAATAGTTCTATAAATGTACACCTTCTCCAGCAATTGCTTAACCTTGATGATGATTTCCTTTATGATTATCTAAATTCTGCAAATTTTAATAATGATGAAATCATTAGCAAGGAAAATTTGGTTGAGGTTCGTCAGAACTGTCACTTCTATGAACAAAAGTTGAAAAAACTAGACGATTTTTATAAAAAATTTTGTCCGCTACAAAAAGCGAAGGATGTGCAAAGTTATCTTGATGAATTAAGAGAACGAAGCAAGAATCTGAATAAAATCTCTCTAAAAGAATCCTTATCAGAAGACCATTGGAGTTTTCATAAACGGATCATATCAATAGCTGAGAGAACATATGAATTAAATCAATCTAGAACATTTAATAATGTTCTTAAAATACGCTTAAATGAAGTAACTGATGAAGAATCTGAAGAAGAATCTGAAGAAGAATCTGATGATATGAATGTTGAATTTATAGCACAAACGCTAATGAATGTTGTTTTAGAAGAATACACTGCTAGGTGCAAGCAGTATGAAAATTGGGAAAGTCTCAAATCTACGGAGGAAATTCCATTTTGGTGTGATGTTTCTAATTA